TGCAAGAGAGAAACCAGCAGTGGAAGGAGGAGCAGCACCATTCCACCACTGTACCTTGGATCTCTGGTGTCCTCCCAGCAATGCAGAATCAGTAGGATGGGGAGAGAAGGATGGTCCCCTTGCAGGACAACATGGCCTTTCTGCTCTCTGGCCTAGAAGACAGGAGGTGGCCTAGTGGAGATAAGCAAAATGATCACCCAAGTGCTTTCTCCACATGCAGAAATTCACACTTTCAGGCATTCCAGAATTTAAGGAAAGATGAGATGGAACTTCAGACCAGGTGCCAAGGATTTACCTGGACACAGAAACTGCACTCATTTAACCGAAACTGCTTTGAAAAGTTTAGTTTAAACTTCAGTGTGCTCCTGTGGGAACACCTTTCCACTGACAGAAAATGAGCAACAAAATAAGTCAAAAGAAAGCACATTTCAACGGATTTAAGAATATCCTCACAGTTGTACCAGCGACCTGGACAAATGAAGAGCCAAACCTGTACTTCAGCTGGGGTGAACATGCACCCTATCTGGCTGGTGAGAAGGTCCATGCTGCCCAGAGGCAGGTATATTTCTCATGATGGACTTGAGCAGGAGATAACACTTTACACATGACTGAAGCCCATGTCCTAGCAAACTACAAACTACCACAGTCCATCAGCATGGTTATTCCCTTCCCAACTGCAGAGGTGCCCAGAAGAATTTAAGTCCTGTTCTTGCAGCACCTCTATGGAACTGAGGGCTCTATCATGGTAAGATCCAGACAAGTGTTTACACAAGAAGCCCCCAGTGTCAATCAGACAAGACAAGGCACAGTTGGAAATTCCATCTTACAGATTAGAAAAAAAAAAAAGACAGAAATTAAAAAGTCTGTTCTAAACCCCATGGGAAACCTGCAGGTGGTTTGATGGAGAACACGGATCTCACAAGTGGTGACAGCACTGCACTGATCTAAGGTGCTCTCCTGATGACCAGCACGTACCTCTTACCTGTAAAATGTTTCATAAAAAGACTGAAGATGTAGGAAAAAACCTTCCTTCTCTAATGAGAACAAGGCTAGCAGGCCAAGGGCAGTTCCACACTTCCTGGTGAGACACACTCACACAAAGCATCTCAGGTCCAAGAAGAGTGCACCACATCTCTGCACTGCCACACTTGCTCCATCCATTGGCTGATCTCCTCCACGTGCCTTCAGTTCTGGGATTAGCAAAACACAAAGCCCAAGAAGGGCACAAATATCTACACCCTGCTATGTGCAGCTGTAGCCCACTGCACACTGGATAAAACAGGCAATGAAACACTGCAGCCTTCCTGCTGCTCACAATTCCTCTCCCCAGGACCAGGTGCATGGAATCTTCTTATTTCTCCTTGTTCCCCCTCAGAGGGGACACCACTCTGGGGTCTTCTTAATTTGAAGCCCAGCACTAACTGGTAACTTCAGAGCCACCCAAGGGAGCCTCAGTTCACATTTTCAAGGAGATGTAAACACTGAAGTTGCTCCATCACCGCCTGATTCTCAGAGCAAACAAATATTAACAAGATAAACAAAAGAATGAAAAATCCCACACACCAAGACTGTGGCTGTAATATTGCCTTGGGGATGAGCTGAAGGGAATGCCAAGCTGAAGATCCACAGCCTGGAAAAAAGAAGGAAGAAGGAGAAACAGATTCAGATGGGGAAACAAAGGTGAGGTAAACACTGGACCATGTCTTGCTCCAGCTGGCCCTGGAAGGTGAGATGCCTCCATTCCCAATAACAGATGAGAGGAGAACTTAGTTTTATGCCACATGGATCCTGCAAAAGGTTCAATTACTGATGAAAAGCAGAGCCATGGAATCTGCAGGCATCCTACTCATTGATCAGCTGCCCTAAGGTCATCCACCTCAACTCTCATGAAGGGGCTTTGCCCTGGGTTCTACTTCTGGACACTGCCCAGCTGACAGATACCAGCCCAGGCCAGAATCTGCCAGCACAAGCCAGGCATAGGGCATCCTGAGGGATGGGGCTGAGAGGAACACACATGTGAGAGTGAAACACTCTTCCCTGTCACACAGCTTCTGAATGCAGCCATTGTTAACCTCCTGGTTTTCACTAATTGCCCATGCATTTACAGTCAAGCAACTGAGGTGCCTCCTGCCCTTCTGTCCCTGCAGACCCATGGCTTGCTTTCTCATAGACATCAATTACTGGGGATCATGAAATTTTTTGTTTAGACTCAATGATCTTAAAGATCTTTTCAAACCAAAATGATTCTATGATTCTATTTTGAGCGGTGCCTGGGGCTTCAGGGCTTCTCAGAGACAAGGCTGCAGCTGGACTGCTCTGGTTGTTCCCACCAGGCTCCAGCCAACCACCAGCACATTCTTCAGGTCTCTGGAAAGGAGCAGAGACAGCTTTCCTGATGAAGCATCCATGGTGACACCATGAGAGGCTTTCACCAGGCCTTGCACGTGCTGCTCCAACTGCACAACTCATTGCACCGGACTTCTCCAAGGAACGGATTGCCCACACACAGCCCCCAACCCCTCTCAGCTGACCTTCCCTTCCAGAGAGGTTCACTCTTCCGAAACAAATTAGCTGAACTGGTCCCAGCAAAAATCTCATCCCAAGCATTTCCAACAAGTAAACTCGCTGTGTCTTCCTGAGTGATTTTCCCCTTTCCCTGCTATCATCCACATCAACTCCCTATGCTGTTTTATCATTGAGTTTTGTTAATCTACCATCTGCCTCCTCTTGTGGAGCCTTAAAGAAACAGAGGATGATGAAAAAGCACAGCACAGAACTTTGCTGCCACCAGACCCTTCTTCCCAATGTGAGATGCTGCTATTTATTACTAAACTTTGTTTATAGTTACGCAGACTCTCTCCCACCCACATGGCAATGTTTCATTCAAGACAAGTTTGAATTCACTTCAAGAACAACATTTCAAAGGATCCCAAAGCATTTGTTTACAAACAGCATGCATGGAGAATTCACTTCTCCCACCAATGAACATGGTCTCCTCCAAGATGGGGAGAGGCAGCTGTTTCATAGCACCCAGTGCTACTCAACAGCTGAGGGACAGGAAATGATCCACAGACAACTGATACTGCTGAGAAAATTTATGGAAAATGAGGGCTGGAGACTTCTATTTGCCAGGAGAGAATGGGGAAGCTTCTGAGGACTAAAGCTCTCCAGTGGGTCGGCAGGAATTTAGGGAGGCAAAGAGTCTCAGACTGTGGTCAAAGGAGTGACTCCAAATTTCAAGCCTCATCTGAAAGTTGGCACCTCTCAAACTAACGGGAACCTGGGCACTGGGATAATTTGGCTGAGGAGGGGAGAGCACCCCCTGCTGAGGCAGCCACACCGATCTCATCCAAGCCCCAAACAGGCCCAGCCCTGTTCAATGTGGGGTACGAGCCAAAATCACAGCCTAGGGAGGTATTTGGTGCAGGGAGAAGACACTGGGAAGACTATAAAACTGAAAACACTTTGTAGTCCCAGCTCCATACACAAGACCTACTGTAAACACTAAATCTTCAGAGGGGAGAAAAAAATTCAGAGGAAGGAGGATCATGCAACTCCTTCAAATACCAAAGTGCTAGGAATGGTAAAGGGTCACACATTGTTGAAGACAAGAGAAGCTACATTTTTAAGATGGAAACAGAGTCCTGAAAAAGGCTAGAGGAGAGTCAGATGTATGAAGACTCTGGACAAAAGGGAGACAAAGGGTCTTACAGAGAGCTGGCTTCATATGGTAATTGTTCCCCAGAACAGTCACCAGCTTTACACAGATAGGAGAGAGCAGGGGCTCCCCAGAAGATCAGTCAGTAAAACATCCAAACAAGGGACAGAACATATCTCCTCACCTCCAAACAGCCACCCATGATGGGAAGAACCAAAGAGTATCACAGAAGAAGTAATGAAAATACCAGTGTTGGAAGAGAGCTGCCCTGAAGGAGATGGGATGCAAGGCAGGTTGCACCCCTCTTCCATCCAGATCCATCCCGGAGATCTAGCCCAGGACATCTCATCTCGAGGATGGGACATGTATGTGGGCACAGTGGGTCTTGCACACACCCCTGGCTCAGAGATGGGCAGCACGTAGAGAGCTCTCCTTCTCCACGGAGGCAGGAGAGGAGAAAGCTCATCCCCTCTACCCATTCTTCCCAGAGATAAGATGCAGAGGACAAAGCTGCCAAAATGGATGTCCCTCCCCAAAATGGATGGTAGGAGAACAAAACTGCCCCCAGATCCACTTCCTGAGGAGGGCTGATGGAGGCAGGACTGTCCCCACGCCCCTCTGGCGGAGGGAACAAGGGGCACCCTCCCCAGGCAGGCACAGTGTGAGATGCCCAGGCCCTTTAGGTGGGGAATAACAATCCCGAGTAGGACACAAGGGGGGGACACGACCCTTAGACACTCCCAAGATGGGAGATGCCCTCTCGGTCAAGGTGTTGGCCAAACATCCTGAGCACGTGGAGGGGGCAACCCTCAGATGGGGGCAGTGATCTCCTCCAAGGTGTCTCTACAGCCCCAGAGAAGGGGATACCCCAGGTGCCTCACAGGGGAGTTACCAGGGGGCAACTTCCCCAGAGCTGATGAGGGCAGTGAAGATGGGGGGCTGTACCCGGAGGCAGCACTCAGGGACCACCAGCCCCAGAGAACGTGCACGGGGGGGTATCACCACCAGCTTCTCCCAAGAGAGGTACGGGGGGCGCACGGAGGGTGTGTCCCCCGCAGATCGAACCCAAGGGGGACACCATCCCCACCCGCTCCAAGGCAAGGCAGTGGGGATGGGGGATGGATGCGGATCCCCCTCCCCACGCCGGGCACCACTCGGACCGCCAGTCCCTCAGGGCACCTCCCTACCCTGGGGGTCCCGGCCCCGCCGTCCCGGAGGGGGGAGCTGGCCCCGGCCCCAGCCCCGAGAGGGGCGGGTGACCCCCGGCGGCCCCCTGGGGAGGCCCACGGGGCCCTGGCTCCACGCGTGGCCCCGGGAGACCGGAGACCGGGCCCGCGCTCACCCAAAGTCGTCGTCCATGGACTTGAAGTAGAACTTGTAGTTGGGGCGGTTGAGGAGGCCCTTGAAGTCGCCGAGGGTGACGCGCTCGGCCGGGATCGGCAGCTTCACCAGGTACGGCGTCTCCTGCTCGTCCAGGTGGTAAATGATCTTCGTCTCGGCCGCCGCCATGGCGCCCCTGCCCGGCCGCCAGGCCCCCGCCCGCGCCTCCGCCGCCTCCTCCGCCCCGGCGCGGACCCCCGGCCCCGGCCCGGCCCCTGCCCGCGCCCCGGCCCAGCTGCGGCCTCCGCACGCCCGGGCCCCCCGCGCCCCTTGTTCTGCGGGTACCAGCACCGCCCGCCCGCACGGCGCAGGCTCGGCCCGACGGCCCCGCCCCGCCCGCCGCCCCGGCCCCGCCGGAACCGGAACCGGCGCCCCGCGGGGCTGCGCGGGCCGGCACCGGGACCGCGGTGGAACGGGACCGGGCTCAGCGGGCACCCCGGGAGGGTCGGCCCAGACCCTGCCCCAAGCCAGACCCCGTACCCATAGGAGATCCACCCCCAGCTGGAACTGGCCCCGTCCGCCCCTGCTGTGCCTCGGCTGAGTGCGTGGCCCCCGGGAGCGCGCACCGCGAGCCCCACCGCCTGTGGGGGCGTTTGGGTTTGTCCTTTACATCCACGTCGTCTCACACACAGCCTGGCACTCCCCACGCACCCACATTCCCAGTCCCAGCTGGCGTGTGCCCTTGTACCCCTCCCAGGCTCCCCACTCCCATTCAGCTTTCACCCCCTCTTAACACCCACTGATGCTGCTTCACAACTTCCACTGCTTCTCATGTCCATACCACAGGCCTCCCTTTCCATTTCTACAGCCCTGGTCCTTTATCACACACCTCTCAACCTTCCCCATGCTCCTCATACCATACAGCTACAGGCCCCTTGAGTACAGCTTACAGAACATGAGGTACATACTGCTCTACCCTGTCCTCCCATGTCCAGACCCCTTTGAACTCCCCGTACTGTGTCTCTGATGGCCACCACACACAGGGACTACCTCCTGCCCCAGTTCCCCTCCAGCTGTGGCTTCCCTCTCAACACTGTCACCAAACAACAACTATCCGCAGTAGTCAGGCATTGGACACCACAGTGTCCCTCCCTTCAAGTTTCCTAAGCCCCTTTTCCTCACCAAGCAGACTCTCTCCTCTACTCTTCACGAACATTCTCCTTTCCCACATACTGTGGCCTCTTCAACTGTGAAACCCCCTTGGCTCTGAGATTTCTTCCTTATCCTCTCTGTCCCCCGACCCCATCTCTCTCTTACTTGCAGTCCTCAGCACTGTGATCCCAGTCCCCAGGACTTGCCTCTGTGCTGCAGCAGTCCCAGGCTGGCTGTTTTCCCCTTCAGTCACCTCTGAAGCACCCAAAGGGCACCAAGGAACTGTCTCCATCAGCAGTTTCCCAGACCTGTGGCTGAGAGCGAAGCTGGTGTGGATGGAGCTTTGGGAACACCCACCACCAGGAAGGGCAAGAACCGCCTCACACTGTCCCAGATTAGAGGGAACAAATGCAGAGGAAGCACCACGCCATGGGCCTGCACAGGGCATGAGACCAGATCACCAGCCCTCGGCACCAGACTCCCCTGCAGTAGGAAAGGAGCCAGAGAGATCCTCTAGGGAACAGAGCCAAGCTCCTCCGGCTGGCAGGCAGGCTGAGCTAAACAGTCCTCCTGCATTACGGACTCCCAGCAATTACCTGGGCAGCACTGCTAGACTGGGTGAAGAACCTGACACTAAACTGGAAAAAAAAAAAATTCAAGGGAAGTCCTCATGTAAGCAGGAGTTTTAAGTAGGGTAAGACTCTCCCATATTTCCATATCAGCTCTTAGAAAACTGTCATTTCCTCATGCCTGGAGCTCTGTGGTAAAAGCTGGTGTACCTGGAAAGAAGAGTCCAGCTCAGAATGGAAAAGTTTAGTTTAAGGTGCTTCTTCCTGTGTCAATCCTGACAGAGCTAATCTGAAAGTTGTTTTACAACACTTCCCTGACCCAAAAGCAGGCACAAGGTAAAGAATCCTCGTCAGCCCCTGACAGGGCCACCCACTCCCTTGCCCACTTCCCAGCACAGCTGTGGGTGCACCTTGGAGCCTGTATCCCACACATTAGACACCTTTGTTACCAAGTATTGCAGCTGTTTTGTAAATGGTTTTATTAAGAGCTCTGTAGCTGTCCTTCTCCCTCTCTGCCAGCCAGTTCCTACTCCCCAGCATCAGGAGGGCACAGTGCAGTGCCTATCAGCCAGCATTCCCACTAATTCTCAAAATGACAAATGATAACAGGTTTCATTGGATTTAAGGTTCATCTTTGCAACATAATCCTGTACAAAACCAAACCTCACCCATTTCAGGATTCTATGTTCAGAACTGTTCTCTAGTTGTAAACGTGAGTTATCAATGAACACTTACACCAATTCAATGCTCTGCTGATTCCCCCACCTGCCTATTGTGTGCTTACAATCTCTTCAGGAGAAAGTAGCAATGAGTTATTTAGCTTACACACAAAGCCCTGCTCAGGCATGTACCACAACTGGAGACATAAAATCCCAAGGCAAAAAAAAAGCAAACAAGCTGGTAACACCAGGATAGGTTTTATTTGCTCCCTGAATTAAATATTGGCAGATACAGAAAATTCAGATACCAACTATTTCCCCAACATTTACAAGACTGAGTTTGCAATGTCAGAAAACAAGGACATTTATGCACAATCCTGGCAACTGATAGTGAGTGCACAAGATCGCCCTGCCTGCACATCAGCTTTTAAGAGGCAGTATCCCTGGTCTCCAATGCTGTCCCCTCACTGACAATTGTGGCACCACGGAACAGCCAAGTAAATATATCCTGAGTGGGCAGCTCCAGTGCATTTCCCCCTGCAAAGGATTTATTCCATGCTCCTCCTGAAGGGGCAGAGGCAAGGTCAGCACATCCAACAAACAACCCACCTATGAAGACACGCTGATGCTCGCTGTGCCCTTTTTGCTCTGTTCTTTGAGAGCAGGGAAGAACACAGCACAGCGACACTTCAGGGAAGCTGTTCTTAAAGGCCTTACTGCTGCCACATATTGTCTGTGCTGGCAACAAAGTGCCAGAGGCACACTCGCTCCCTGCTGCTTGCCGAGCTGCTCTGCGGCTGCAGAACTTCACAGTGGGTTTGCAGCACTTTCCCTGTTGTCTGAGGGAAGTTTTTAAATAAATAAAAGGACATGAAGTAAGCAAGCTTGTATAACTGAAATCATGTGGATACACAGACCACGTGCTGTTGAAGGAAATACCACTCACTCCTTTTCACACTGGAGCAGAATTTAGGAACTTGCATCCTCTTCAAAGCAGCTGGTGCAGTCAGTGACCCCCGGAGCAAAACACAAGTGTAGTTGGTGCAGCGGGAGGAGCCAGGCACCTCTGCTCCCTTTTTATAAAAAAAATAAAGAAAGACACTTCTCTAAAACATGTCTGCTAAGCTGGGGTGCACAGAAGACGGATCACATGTAAGATGTGTTGACCTGCACAGCATTTCACTGGCCAGTGTACATCCACTGCTAGCCAACCCCACCCAGGGAGCTGACACACACCATCCCCGGTTCTACAGCAGGGGAAACACATGGTTTTACCAACTCCACTGTGCAACCTCGTGTTAGATCCTAGCATGGCAGATGGCAAGAGATTTTCCCTTTTGGAAAGATCACAGAAGTGCCTTCTAGGCTGCAAAATGCCTTGGGCATCCTCATACAATTGCATCTTCTCCAGGCACAGGAACTCCTGAATCCCAGTCCTGCACTCCAGATCCTAATCCACATGCTCTTACTCACCAACCTTGCCAGTGTCTCTTCAGCAGGAGTTCTCTTAGCTCCAGAAGCAACAATGACTCCAAATACCTTAGCTGTATGACCATTCTTCCACAATCCCGATGGTTAGATCTAAATGGGCATCATATGCATTTGCATCTCCTCGTTCCCTTTGTATTAGTAACAAGGACCTCCTCAAAGATAGCTTATAGTATATCATATCCAGGTTCCAGAGGGATTTTAGGTATCACCACCTCCTGCTTTTCCCTTATGGTTTTTACACTGGGTTGCAACATAAGGTGTGCAAGTGAGGGAGGGAGGGAAGTGGTGAAGTTGGGAACACACAACTGAATTGATGATGGGATTGTCAGTCACTTCGATGTCAGGCCTCACATCTACACACCATGCACTGGCATTGATCTTGCCCTGCCCACTCGGCCCAGAAAGGCAGTGAGAGCCTTTTCTCATGCTGAGCCACCACGTCAGTCTTGGTCGCCATCAGACGACTCCTCCTCTGCCTCCTCCAGCCATTGGATAAACTTCTGGAGCTGCAGAAAGAATGATACATAATTGGGCAACAATTGACACCAAAGAGATGCTGCAAATGCTCAACAAATACATTGTGTGAGTGATCATCACTAACATACACAAGAAAGAGAAAGTGTTTCCAGAAGACATAGAAACTGAGACAGATTGAGGGAGAGGGAGACAGTTCGGTGAAAAACAACTGGGATGCCACAGACAAACGCAGACTAAATTCCTAAAGGAGATTCCTCCAGTCAGACAATCCCCACAACACTTAGCAAAAAGACAAAAGTTTCAGAGTTTTTCAGAGCTCGAGGGCAAAGAGATGATAGCTGCACCTTAGCTAAGACATGTTAGGAAAACTCTGCTGGGAAAAAAACTACTCCCTGACAAACTGCTATTAAAAAGGCAGCTCATTTTACCTTTTAACTGGGCTTGAACAAGCAGCTGAAAGCACTGCTGACCTATACTAATAGCTGACTTTGAAGAACAGTTTTGTTTAAAACCTTTGCAGAGATGGCTTTTTTTCCCCTGCTCCTCTTCCAGATCCAGGGAGGGACACTGGAACAGGGCTCAGCCAAACTGCAGCACAAAGTTCTGCCTGATGGAGGAGGGAAGTTTATATGCTCCTTGCAACAGAAGCCAAATGAAACCACTCAGTACAGCAAACATTTAGAAATATATGCAAAGGGACTGGTGAGCCAGGAATGAAAGCTTCAAAGGAATTGCATGGGGCCAGCACACAGGGCATTGGCCTAAAGCCCATTTCAAATGGGTGTTGGCTTAGAGAAGCTGTGCTGCTACTCCAGAAAGTGCTGGCCTCGTGCTACAGGGAGCACACCAGAAACAATCCTACTACTTCCATTTGTCATCCAAACGGG